GTGACAACCACCTGACTCTGAAGAGGCAGACAACAACAGCGCCCTCATGTGTCCAACTTAGGTCACTACCCTTTTTCACAAATCTCCGTCCCTATTGATCTATGCGTGCCCATCTCACCGATATTGTCAAAACCCAAGTGAAGCAAACTAATTTGGTGCTTGCCATCATTCCGGATGGATTAACCACAGAATTCCAACCGCTAAATATTGGTGTCAACAGGGCGTTCAAAGTTAAATTGCGAGCTGCGTGGGAGCATTGGATGACAGAAGGCGAACACGCATTTACCAAGACAGGGAGGCAACGCCGGGTGAGTTACGCCACTATCTGCTTATAGATCGTGGATGCCTGGGCTAAGGTATCAGTCTGAAATGTCGTCCGAGCTTTCACAATCGGAATCATCACTGAACAACTAATTAACAGCAACAAGACTGAATCAGATAATGCCAAGAGGGATCCGGGCATGCTTGACTGTACCGCTTAATTGTTCACTGACTTATTTTGCTTAATGCGCCTTATAACCCGGTGCGCCTTATGTATGAAAATATATTCCCATTCATTGATAGTGCACCTTATAATGTGGTGCGCCTTATGATCCCAAAAATACGGTAACTAACAATCATCATTTAGATCCCGACCAGTAATGCAAGATCCTAAAAACATCGACTTCCCTGCTGTGAATCACTTTCCCTGAAATAACTTTATGACATCAGTGATAACAGGAGTCACAGTCATCTAGCCATAACATTCCACTGCTGGGTTTTCGCACAAGCAAGGGCCTCCTGGGACATAGTTCTCATTTAATTAAAAATGAATAAATAAATAAAAATAACTGTTTAGCCATCTTAAATTAAGTCACTGTTCTTTCAGATATGCAGATTCGTTGTACTTGCCTAGGTCACTTTTGTTTAACAGCAGCCTTTAACCTTCATGTGACAAGTAAACACATGCAAGACTAAGACCTAAATTGTGATAAGACATTTATGTCAATGATTCTGGTTGTTACACTGACACAAGCTAAAATGTTCTGAAGATCACATTAATGCCAGAGTGACAGCTCAGAAGTCTTGAAAACAGGCTGTAGAACACAGTGTGTATTGGAAGGGTATGACAGGACGTTGCATAGTTGTTGAAAATGCACTGATCCATAAGTTTTTGCTTATCAATACACAGCACAGGACTCACATCAATAAATTTGGTGTAATCTTCTTTTTCTTTCAACTTTGTCCCTTTTTTCAGGGGTTGCCACAGCGAATCATTGTTTTCCATCTCTTCCTGTTCTCTGCATCTTCTACTCTGACTCCAACTATCTGCATGTCCTCCCTCACTGCATCCATATATCTCCTCTTTGGCCTTCCTCTTTTTCTCCTACCTGGTAGCTCGATCTCTAACATTCTTCTACCAATGTATCCACTGTCCCTCCTCTGCACATGTCCAAACCATCTCAATCTGGCTTCTCCAGCCTTTTCTCCAAACCTTCCTGTCTGTGTTGTCCCTCTAATGACCTCATTCCTGATCCTGTCCATTCTTGTCACTCCTAAAGA